TCCCTGCAGTCTCTGGATTTCCTTGCTCTCACTGAGACGTGGATTACTCCATCCAACACATCCACCCCAGCAGCTCTCTCCACAACATATTCCTTCTCCCATACACATAGACCCACTGGCAGAGGAGGTGGCGCTGGTCTCCTGCTCTCTCCCAAATGGAGCTTTTCCCTCTTCAAGCTACCTAACTTCACTCCTTCCACCTTTGAATTCCATGCCGTCACAGTAACCCATCCTATACAATTAACCATTGTTGTTCTCTACCGTCCACCAGTCGCCTTGGGGGACTTCTTGGAGGAATTAGATAATCTCCTCTCACACATCCCAGAAACTGGCCCTCCCGCTGTACTTCTCGGAGACTTCAACCTCCAGACGGGGAAGATAGACGAACTAACATCTCTGTTAACCGCCTTTGCTTTCTCACTGTCTCCATCCCCACCAACTCATAAAGCTGGCAATGTCCTTGATCTCATATTCTCAAGGAACTGCACTACTTCTAACCTCTCTGTAAACCTGCTCCACACATCCGATCACTTCTTCATTTAATTCTCTCTACCCCTTTCCAAACATAACGAACTAATCTCTTCTCATCCTGCACCTGTCCGCCGTAACCTTCGTTCCCTCTCCCCCTCTACCTTTGCCTCGTCGGTGCTCTCAGCCCTCCCTTCCTCTGACTCGTTCCAACTTCTGCCTCCAAACTCTGCTGCAGAAACTCTCCTCTACTCTTTCATCCTCTCTGGACTCTCTCTGTCCTCTCACATCTCGGCAGGCTCGTCAGTCCCCTCCTGCTCCCTGGCTAAATGACGCACTGCGTGCTAATAGAACCGTCCTTCGGGCAGCAGAGCAGAAACGGTGGAAATCCAAACACCATAACGACCTCCTAACCTATCAGGCTCTCCTCTCCTCTTTCTCTGCTTCGATCTCTCAGGCAAAAAGCACTTTCTTTCAAGATAAGATCCAATCTTCCTATTCCAATCCCAAAAAACTATTTTCCATCTTCTCCTCCCTCCTGGACCCCCCCAAAGCCCCTTCCCCCTCCTCCCTTCTGTTAAGCGACTTTGTTAACCACTTTGAATAAAAGGTTGATGATATTCGCTCTTCTTTTTCTGACTCACCTTTACTCACCGCTGGGTCACCAGACCCTCCTTTCACCTATACACTGACCTCCTTTTCCCCTCTCTCTCCAAGTGAGGTTCTTACCCTCATTACCTCTGCCCACCCTACCACCTGTCCTCTGGACCCTATCCCTTCAAACCTACTTCAGACTATCGCTCCTGATATTCTACCGTTTCTCACCCATTTCATCAACACTTCTCTAACTTCTGGTCACTTTCCAAACAGTCTCAAGGAGGCAAGAGTAAACCCTCTCCTAAAGAAACCCACTCTCAACCCGTCTGATGTTATAAACTACAGGCCTGTCTCTCTCCTCCCGTTCCTGTCTAAAACACTTGAACGCGCTGTCTTTAAACAACTCTCCTGTTATCTCCATCAGAACAACCTTCTGGATCCGCACCAGTCTGGTTTCAAGGCAGGTCACTCCACAGAAACTGCCCTCCTTGCTGTCACTGAGGAACTGCACACTGCTAAAGCAGCCTCCCTCTCCTCTGTCATCATCCTTTTGGACCTGTCTGCTGCATTCAACACGGTGAATCATCAGATCCTCCTTCTTACTCTCCAAGAACTTGGAGTTTCAGGCTCTGCACTTTCCCTCCTCACCTCATACCTGAAAGACCGTACCTACAGGGTTACTTGGAGAGGATCGGAGTCCGACCCTTGTCAATTAACTACAGGGGTCCCTCAGGGCTCTGTTCTTGGTCCCCTCCTCTTCGCCTTGTACACAAACTCGCTCGGATCTGTCATTAGCCCGCATGGTTTTTCATACCACTGCTACGCTGACGACACCCAATTAATTCTGTCCTTTCCCCGCTCAGAGACCCAGGTCGTCGCATGCATCTCTGCTTGTCTAGCTGACATCTCTCAGTGGATGTCTGCTCATCACCTCAAGCTCAACCTTGACAAGACTGAACTGCTTTTCCTTCCGGGAAAAGATTGTCCCACTCTTGACCTAACAATCAACATCGGCACCTCTGTTGTTTCCCCGACTCAGACTGCAAGGAATCTGGGTGTGATCCTAGATAACAACCTGTCCTTCACTGCAAACATAGCTGCTACAAACCCGTTGCTGCAGATACACGCTTTACAACATCAGGAGGATACGTCCCCAGCTGACCCAGAAAGCGACTCAGGTTCTGGTCCAGGCTCTCGTCATCTCACGCCTAGACTACTGCAACTCCCTCCTGGCTGGTCTACCTGCATGTGCCATCTGACCTCTGCAGCTCATCCAGAATGCAGCGGCTCATCTGGTCTTCAACCTTCCTAAATTCTCCTACACCACGCCGCTCCTCCGCTCCCTTCACTGGCTTCCGGTAACTGCTAGAATCCACTTCAAGACAATGGTACTTGCGTACCATGCTGCGAATGGATCTGGCCCTTCCTACATCCAGGACATGGTTAAACCGTACACCCCAGCACGTGCACTCCGCTCTGCATCAACCAAACGGCTCGCTGCACCCTCGCTGCGAGGGGGACCCAAGTTCCCATCAGCAAAAACACGTGGGTTTGCTATCCTGGCTCCAAAATGGTGGAATGAGCTCCCCATTGACATCAGGACAGCAGATAGCTTACACACCTTCCGGCGCAGACTGAAAACTCATCTCTTTCGACTCCACTTCGAGCAATAGAACTATTAACAAAGCACTTATATACTAAAAAAGTTCTGGCTTACCTAAAGCCAGTTGAGTAGCACTTGAAATGTTTTTGCTCTATGAAACCTGATGTACTTATATGATTCTGTTTTCTTCAAGTTTGTATTTTGTTGTTCGAACGCACTTATTGTAAGTCGCTTTGGATAAAAGCGTCAGCTAAATGCAATGTAATGTAATGAACATGTATCCCCCTGGTATCTCTACATGTTGCCCAGGAAACACTTCATCAATTCAAGAATCATATAGTTGAGTTTCTATTGACCTATTGACATTTTCTGTGTGTTTTCAATTTGCACCCTAACTGGAAACAATAATCATTTAAAGTTAATATGTTGTTACCATAAAATGAAATAACAAATTGGCAAAATGTACTTTAAATAGGTTAACAGATAAATGACGTCTACCATGTGACCTAATGTCCAGTGAAGCACCTGTTTGGCACAGATCTGGATGGAAAATAGAAACTGAATTAAAATCAGGATTCCACCAGGCTTCATGAACATCATATAGCTGCTGTGTATAAAAATACACATTTGTATGTATTTCGATTTGCAAATGTGTTCCCACATAGGTGTATTTACAAGCGGTTTGTGTGTACCTGCATGCTTTACTATACTATAATACTATACAGCTTCACATATCATATCAACATCCTCATGCATTATGCAGTGCTTGTGTAACATCCAAGCGAATGTGAGCTCATTTAAAAGAATCTGACACTTTCCCACATTTCACAACACCAGAGGAAGTCATTATCTTTTTCTTTTTTTTCTAGTCTAGTTGGCAAAGACGTCAGACATCAGTTCTGCTTATAGTTAAAGGCAACAGATGCTGTTTATCTGTGCTTTTTATTCCAAGATTTGTTTCACCCTCTCCTTGACATCAGCTGTTTGCCTTTGACACAATTATGTCTGATCTCAGAGCCATAATCCAATCCCTCCGTATCCATAGCTGGCCCCAGCTCTACAATTTTGTTCCACCCCGTAAGTTTTAGACAGGAGAATACTATACAATTATTTTGTTGCACCAACTGAATGAAGAAGGGTCTCTGGTCTCCTAGCAACAGTCGGCTGCCACCATGTCCAATGAGGTAAATGTGGTCCTATGAGAAGACGGGAAGTAAAAGTGTAGAGTCTCTTTTTCCCTTTTTCTCTCCTCTTCGCTCTTCTGTTTCCATTCTGTCTTCATCATACACTCAACACGTTTAAACAGTTTGTTCCTGTAGAATAGCAAATCACTTCCATGCCGTTTCATGTTGGATTGGTGTTTCTGTGCACGCTGCAAAATGAATAAAACGTTATGTGAATTTTTGAACATCAAACAAAATGCATGCTGCTGAATCTGGCACTCGTATCAGAATCCCTCCTGTGAACATGTAAGTATTTCCCTCCAGCCTTGTACTGCTGGATCAGACACCCCCCCCCCCCCTCTCTCCACCACTCCCCTCCAACAATTCTGGAAGATGATTTTAGCATCAGTTTAGCGTTGCATTGGCACAGAGCGTCCTCTGGGAAGTGTACATGCTCTCTGCGGACCGTGTATTCTCCACACATGCATGACGTGCAGCATAATTAAATAAGCCCTGCGTGCTCCGTTAATTGCCCGCGGAGGGCTTGTAGGGATTGGGAAATGTTGGGATATGTGTGTGTGTGTGTGTGCCTGGATGTGTCCCTCTGTTGCATAGAGGTGCCCAGTGTAAAAGGCATGTGCTGACTCTCCTGCAGGATCCTCCCGGGGCAGAGGGTTCCGTTCTCCTGCGCACTGTTTGAAATGCAGGAAATTATAATGATCTCCCTCTCACACACAAACACACACACAAACACACACACATTCACAACATGTTGCACCAACATGTACAGAATTCACACATTCATCAGCCTTCAAACATCTCCTACAGACTTTTACATCCACACATACTGTACACATCTAATCTAGATGTCTTTCCTAGCTGACAGCAAACTAAATGACTTAAAGCACTGTTATAGTATGTGTTTACATTAGAATTATACGCACACATTGGGCTTTACATTTCTTCAAGTTATTAAGTTTGTTTTGTCAGTCTTCTGTCATCTGAAATGGTGCACTACAGAAGTGCATATTAATTTAATTAGAATAAGAGCTTCATTTGGATGGAAACATGATTAATGTTTTTGATGACTATGACATAACATAAGAATGTTTTCGTTACTAAGGTTTCATATGTTATCTTTTTGATGTGTCTGTTATTGTCTCCTTTAGAGATGTCAAGCCAGACAATATCCTGTTGGATGAGCAAGGTAAGGATGTTAACTGTTTGCTTTGTGTGTGTGTGCATGTGTGTTTGTGTCTCTCAGTGCTTATGTGTGTTTCTATGTGTCTGTCTCTGTTTATATGACGTTGTCGGTGTGCAGCAGACATGGGCAAAATAACACTCAGCATTTAGTTTAGGCTCCTTGTTAAGGGAGGGAAAATAAACATTCAAATGTATTTATCAGAACTTATTATATAATTACTTAAAGGTCAGCTATTACGCAAAATCTACTCTTTCATTTCTCAAACATTTGGGACACATGTGTAAAGAGATTCTGAAAGTTTCAGGAGAAAAGATTTGCTCACTTTTTGTCCTGATCGAGTTATATAATAACCTGTCTGAAAATGAGCTGATCAGATTTTGGCCACTTTATGATGCCATAACAATTTGTTGTCTTGTGTAACCATTAGCCAATCACCAACCAAGGTAACATTTGTTTCATATTAGTTTATTACATCTCTTAAACAAGTTTACTCCTGATACTTCATCACGTAATACAGGGGGAAAATCTCTTCCACTTTTTCAAATCACAAAGGACTTCATTATCTCTTACCAGTTGTTGAATTTAAACATTTATTTGTAGAAATCTTTAAAGATGGCTGTATCTGTTTCTAACACTGCTGTTAGGAAGTGCTTGTGTGTAAATGGCTGTGGGCCTTATCACTGTTTTAATTTATTCTGCTGTCATCAGGTTTTCTTGTAAAAGAGATCTTCATCTCAATAAGATTTAGTAAGGTCTATAGATATATAGATATCCATGATTATTTTTTAGCTGTAAGTATAGTCACGTTGTTCTGTAAGGAGAAAATTGGAAACGACAGCCAAACAACCTTTCAAGTGCACAGTTTACAGAGAGAAGTGAGATGTAGTCCATCTGGACAAGTAGGACACAGAAATGACCATGCAGGATAATACTGTATGTCCCAAAAGGAACAGGGTCAGAGTTCAGGGACGTGCTCTACATACAAAACCACTGGAATGTCACATTTTTCTTGTCCTTCATTTCATTTTCTTTTGACACATTAATATTTTTTATTTGTAGACATTTCTAAAAAAATACCAAAGCTTTGATGGAATTAGTTGTGAAGGACTTGTGTTTCTTTCTCTCAGGTCACGCTCACCTAACGGACTTCAACATAGCGACGATAATAAAGGACGGAGAGAGAGCCACTGCCTTAGCTGGAACCAAGCCCTACATGGGTAACATAACCATCTTTAAAACCATGTTATCATGCCTGATCGCTTCGTGCACATACACATCCATACTGAACAAGAATGGTTATGAGGTTATTGTATTTTTGACTAATGTTACATTTTGAATGGATAGGCTGATAAGAAAGAATGGTCTCTAAATGTGGGTACTGTGATTCAGGAAACTGAAGTCTGTATTTATGAGAGTTTTAGTTTATCACTGCTGCTCGAAGGTGCTAGACGGCTGATTTCTCAGCATATTTTTACTCGCTCATCATCACTAAAGAGGCCCTTGTGTGAATTAAGTGATACAAATTACAGCTCTTGTGTTTATTTGTGAAAAACTCAGGCAAAAATGTCCCTTGTCTTGTGAGTCGACTGCACAGCTGAGGAAAAATGTTCTTTTGACATTTTGCAAAGTAACACAAGACGCTCTCTGACTACATGTGTGTGCAGTATTTTAAAAGCTTCTCTGCTCCTGAAGTGTTCTCTGTTTGTGCTTTCAGCCCCAGAGATCTTCCAGTCTTTTGTTAGTGGGGGTACAGGCTATGCCTTTGATGTAGACTGGTGGTCACTAGGGGTGACAATCTTCGAAGTGCTTCGTGGATGGGTAAGACATCTTGGACAATCTGAGTTGTATAGGTTCTACAGCTGAAATTGCTTCTATTTACCCACTCCTCTTTCCCTACATCATGTCTATTGTTCATTATTTTTGTGTTCATATTTCCTTACCAGAGGCCCTATGATATCCATGCCAGTAACTCGGTGGAGTCCCTGATGCAGCTCTTCAGTACAGTCAGTGTCCAGTACAGCGCAGCCTGGCCCAAGGACCTGGTCTCCCTGCTGAGGAAGGTGAGCGTGACACAATGGGCTATCATCACCTTTCAGGTCTTTCTCTAAAGGAGCAGTGCCAAGATTTTAGTGGCATCTATTGGTGAAGTTGCACATTGCAACCAACTGAAAACTTCTCCGTTCATCACTCCCTTTCAAAGCGCATCAGAGAATCAACAGAGAAAACATATAAACCCAAAGGCTCTTTCTAAAGAAGTAATAAACGTTATTTATATAACACCTTTCATCCAAGATGCAGCCCAAAGTGCTTTACAGAACAAGACAATATACATACAAATATAACAGAGTAAGAAATCCTCAGATTTCTTGTGAAATACTTTAGGTAAAGGTACGTTAGGTACTGTTATGTAGCTCCTGGTTACTATAGAAACATAGCGGTACAATACAATATTATTTTCCATTTCTGCTAATGTTTTCCCCTAAATCCTACACACTAGACCTTGATTATGTTCCCACTCAGAGGTCATCTGAAATGATATCATGAAATTAGTGCAATGGGAGAGGTTAGTGATTTTGATGTCGTTATAAATTGCAAGATACAAGTCGTCATCTTTTTTAGGGACAACTGATAAGATATAAAGAACACCCCATAAAATAGCTCTGAACATTACACTTATCAGTTTATTTTTTCATTAGTCATGATGATGTCATTTTAGTAAGAAATAGTATTGTCACTATGTTACAAATTGACAGATTGACAAATTAGGCCATCTGTAGACTTAAAGTTGGACTTTAGGAAATTCTGACAATTCTAGCAATTTTGTTATATTTTATTTACATGACGATAAATCATTTGTTCAAGATAAATTGATAATGAAATCTGAACATCCTGTAAAATATAAGAAGAAATACCTTTGTAAAAGAATGCCGAAGCAAATGAGATTCAGGTTAAAGTAGGTATTTGTTAAAGTAGATTGACCCCTTTGCCTGGACACAGATGGTTTCCTTGGCAAGAGGAGCAGGCAGAAAGGGTAGCAAGGATACAAAGCAGATATTGGGGTACATATTGAAGGAAAAAAAGCACTGAAGCCAAAGAAACACAGGATAAAGGTACTGTAGGGACACTGGAGCAGGAGGGAGGGAGGATGAGCCGAGACCCTCTGGGCAAAGGAGAAGAAAAACGACAGATGGGAATCTGAGGGATGGAAGCACAGAAAATAAGCAAGAGGGTAAGAGAAGGGACAGTGTCTCTTTGTATTAACCAGTGTATTGCTGAGGAAACCGATCACAATATTCATTGTGATCGTAACAAGTGATTTCAGAGTCTCAAATAGTTTTTTTAAATCAAACTTATTTTAGCTATAATAATAACCAACCCTGTTGTGCTTTTTCTCAACATCGATTTATCTGAATCTGAAGTGAAACCCGGACAATATAATCTCATCCTCTCTGACAGTATTTCCTTAGTCCTTTTTAGACAAGATTTTAGAGTGACTTGTTAAAAAGGATATTTTTTGGCAGAGTGTATTTGTAAGCATGAGTGCACGCATGTGTTCTGTGTCTGAGTGAGTGAGCGTCCTGGGCGGAGGTCCCTTCCGCTCTGCTGCTGATCGATTATTACCGTGTCTGGACTCCACCGAGCCAGACGTAGCAGGCCCTGCAGGAGAAAACTGAATCAACCTGTGACCAAAGGAGGAAAATAAAGCACAGGGAGAGAGCTAACTTGACAACAAAAGCCACATCCTATTATTGTTTCTAGTGTTTACCCTGAGGAGAAAAATGAAACAGATGGTATTCCATTAAAACACAACCCGTTTTAATTTCCTCTCTGGAGTACGTGACTCCACTCATGTGTGGCTTTCACCTGTCTTCATCACCTGCAACACATTTGATCTACTCCTGACAAACAGGGTTTACTAGACTTCATTTTTATTTTACATATATTTTTTTCAAAATGATTTCATAATAGCATTTCTTACTTTTTCAAAAAGAAGTGCCCCCTGCTTATAATACAACCCAGTCTCACGGCATTTCGTGTTATAGTCGTGGCATTTAATCTATTGATTCGTGTTCACCAACACAATTTCCCCCTTTTTTTTAGCAATGTATTTCTATTGGTAGTATGTTTTCGTGCCTGCACCACGTCTTTTTGTCCAGTCGGGTCTTGGAAGACTGGAATCTGTGTGGTTCATAAAAACATTTTCTTACTCAATATCAGGCCATGATTCTTTTCTAAATAACACACTGTTATTTACTCAACAATAACACACAATTATCCTTGTTTTTATTTTTTGTTTAATTCTATAATATAGGGCTTTTTTGCCGTCTGCCAGGAACTGAATTTCAAAATAAAGTCACAGAAAACAGACGTGCGATACACACCCACTGAACTAATTACCCAAGATCCTCAGCTATGGTTGAAGCTCGTTGATTGGATGTTTTAGCCGTAATGCACGTTGGGATATGATGTTAATGCGATATGAAATAACTATCAACAGAATTGCATTGCCAGGCAACAGCTTGGGGTGAAAACAGTATTTCCGGTCTCGAAGTTTCAATAGTAATCTGCAGTACTCATCAACTAAAAACATCAGTTTATCCTTGTTAATTACAGAACATTGATTGGTTTCAATTGTGTACAATGCTTTTGTGTTTTCCCCCTTCGATTCGGAGAAACAAATAGTTTTTTCTGAGTTTAGGATGGCCGAAGACACTACACTACCCATAATCCTCAGCTATCGTTTGGGACTACAGTCCCTTTGCTTGACAAACCCCGTGATTAATCTTCAAGCTCTGTGATTGGATGTTGGAGTGGCAGTGTGCCAAGGTTACGCCGAGTGTCAAACGGCTCTATGAAATGGAATGAAGCCACAGCAGACTATCCAAAACTGGACTTGAACAGGGCCCCCCCCCCCCCCCCCCCCCCCAGAACTACACATACTGGCTATTGCGTTTCACAACCTCTGTTCGCAACATGTTCTAAGGCACGTCTCTACTGGGAATTGTAGTTTTAAAATACGTTTTCGTTTCTCCCACAATTAGAAGTTGCCAGTATTAAACTGTGTACACCCCTGGAGGTTTAGGGCAGTGGTTCTCAAATGGGGGTACGCGGACCCCTAGGGGTACGTTGGAGTACTGCAGGGGGTACGCGAGATTTATTTGATGTTAATGAAAAAAACTAAATAAGTAATGCATTCAAACAAACTACTAATAGTAGATTAACTACTTTATTCAAAAGTGTATAGTAATTCTGGATAATAAAATGGGAAAAATAAACGGGGTGCTTTTCCTCTCCCTCTCCTGACAGCCTGTCAGTATCAGGCTCAGGTAGCTCGCTGAAGAACCTGTAATGAGTGACCCGACAGTAAATAAACATATTTATAACTAGTTTAGCTAGTTCCAGAGTAGATCAAATAGCTAAGTGTGATGTTCTAACTCTTAGTGTGTATTTTGCTCCGCTCACCGCTGCAGGTGATCATGTAGAGCTGCGTGTGTCTCCGTCTGCAGCAGCTGATCTCTCTCTCCCGTCCGATTATACTTCACTCGCGTTTATGTTTATATCCATCAGATCTAGCTAGTTCTAGTTAATGATATGACTGCCTGGACAACTAAACAATAAGCGTTGCTTGGCAACAGGGTGTGGCCGCAAACTATAGCGCAGCATTATGCATATGTTTATATGAGCGGTTATAGGTATAAATGCTCATATGTTTTTTCTCTTCGTTCCCCACGGCCCACAATTAATAAATAAATAGATATACCAATTTTAGGAAAAGTTACGAAGCTTGAGCAGTGTGGGTTTTATATGAACAGAGTTACACATATTTCAAAACGTGTAATAACTGCATTTGCCTCCCTGTCAGAATGACAAAGATCCTCAGTGAAGCACAAGCCCATGTTTCACTACATTGTAAATACAACTTATTAAAAAGATCAGTTCAATGCAACTAATGTCGTCTTAGTGTTATTGTATGATGTTAAAATTGTTTTCCATTAATTTAGTGATGGATTGTAAACATTTGAAATGTAGCATTTAAGTGTTTCTCAGTTACAATGTTGTTGTTTTAATAAATCAGACACTGATGGTACAGCACTGTACTGTACCTCTTTATATAGGCATTTTTCCTTAACAAATAGTTTTTGCGCTGATCAGGGGGCTGAATCTTTTTTTCAAAGGGGGTACATTATTGAAAAAAGTTTGAGAACCACTGGTTTAGTGGATAAGAAACACATTGGTGTTATCAAATGTAAAACATGTAATTACTAAATGAGTGAAAATCGCTTATATCCATAATGCGCAGCATTAATATATACCCACATGACAGCTCATTGTTACTTTGTAATTCTACTCCACCACAATTCAGAGGTTAATCTGGTATTTTTACTCCACTACATTTATTTTAGTTACTTTGCAGATTCTGATTAATGATGTGAAATATAAACAACCCTTAAAGCAGACTTTAGTTACACCTGAGTAAAATTCAGTGAAGGTGATTGTCAAGTGCCAACAATCAGGAGAGATATTTGATAGTTGGTGCTTGAGAAGACTAAACATGTATCTGCAGATCCCTATAAAGTATATTCATTACTCGTTATTCTCTACTAATAGTTCATTAAAGACTGTATAATGGCTATTTTGCACATCCCTTTCAAGATTTCAAGATTTTCTAAGGTTTATTGACATATCATATACACAACTACGGTGTAGTTATGCAATGATGAAAAACTTGGGTCGCAGGTTCCTCAACAGTGCAACAAGACATCTATCAATATGTGTGTATACCTCCACCATTAAACTGTCCTATTATGCACATTTCTTATACTATCTACATACATAAGAGTATAATTAATGTGTATAATATCAGTTCAAATAAGTGCTTCAACATAGTTAACATTGCAGGAAAGCAATATATTAGACGTTAAGGACTTTGTTGTTAATATTTATCTGTAGATACCCCCAAAGCTTTTTTCTTATTTAAAAGAAGACCTTAACCTAAAGTATTCTTTACTGTTTAAAGTGGACCTATCATGCTATATTTGAATAATATATTGTAGGGCCATACCTATATAAAACATGTCTGCGAAGTTTTTATTTTTCAAAATACCAAACAGATCATGCATTTTAGCCATGCTTCATTTCGCTCTATTTTCTCTTTTTTAGCCCTGTTTTTGCAAGGACTGAATCTGAGAAGTCTTCTTCGCTGCTTTTGTGACAGACTACAGCGCCACCTACAGGCCTGGCATATGTACTACAGCGGCTCCAGCGCTTTCGAACGGCAATGGCCGTGGCTGTCTCCTCCTGATAGGTGGAGAGTTGCTCATATAGGCGGAGCTCCTCATTCCTGACGTCAGAGAATTTTCAAATCTGTATCAGTCTGTATCAGATCCGTTGCAGCCCTGTTTTTAGAGATTTGGGTATGGAGGAAAAGAGAGAGGGTTGTGTTTGCTGACACTTGATGAGTTCCCTGACACACCGGGGACACATATTCATGTATAAAAGACGTACAAAAGTGCATTTTGCATGATACTGTAGGTCCCCTTTAAATAAAGCCTTATTAGTTTGTCTGTTTTGCACATCCTCCTATTAATATATTTGTACATCCAGCACTAAACTGTTTTATTGTAGAGATCACTTACAGTATCTTCTTGATATTTTATATTCTATATTTCTATCATTGACCTTCTACTTTCCCCCTATTTTGTATGTACTCCTTTTAGCCTAAGGGGCAATATTGTCAAAGTAATTATCGATCGACCAAACTAGCTGCAGTAAATATACACAGTACACAGAAATAACAATTACACTATGTTCAATAAAACTTATTAGAGTTAGCTTTAAAAAGCTTCACATGCTACTTACTTAGCCGGCTAACTAGCTAGCTAGGTTGTGAGCATGGTTTATTTACCCCATACTAAAGAGAAGAGTCAGTGTTAGCAGCAGCTAACTGGAAGAGTCTTTATTCTAGAGATGTTTCTTGGAAAAAGACACAACTGCGTGAAGTCTTTGTGGTCTTTTTAGTCAACAGGAAGTAGCTGACATGGCTAACACTGGTGCTTCTCTTTTTTGACTAGTTAGCTGGCTAGGCAGGTACCTAGAAGTTGTAAAGAAAAATACATTTCATGTGTGTAGTGTGTTGAATTACAATAGTTGCTTTACCATAGTTGAGTTATTCCTAATTTCCTATTTATATTTAACCCTTTAAGCTCCATATTCTTGTGTATTCCATCATTTAATTTGAAATGATACAGTTTTAATTGAAATGTTATGGCTAAACAGTCACATGAAGTTAAGGATTTTATATACTGTACATTTAAACTAAATATATGTGGCTCTACTTCAGCTAGCCCAGCCATACACACTACTTTGCATTTCTTGTAAACTAAACAGTAAAAAAAGAACTTTGTTTTGTTTTTCCACCTACAATTTGTCAAGTTTCATGTCCTGTGTGTGTGTGTGTGTGTGTGTGTGTGTGTGTGTGTGTGTGTGTGTGTGTGTGTGTGTGTGTGTGTGTGTGTGTGTGTGTGTGTGTGTGTGTGTGTGTGTGTGTGTGTGTGTGTGTGTGTGTGTGTGTGTGTGTGTGTGTGTGTGTGTGTGTGTGTGTGTGTGTGTGTGTGTGTGTGTGTGTAGTGCTGATCAGCTTCTGCAAGACAAGCGCACCTCTAACAATAGCAGGGTTATGAGACTCTGTGTGTGAGTGTGTAGTATATGTGTGTGTGTGTGTGTGTGTGCACTCCGTTCTGACATTTACCATCAAAGCAAGACTGCAGGTATTACCCACTAAGTACAATCTGTCCACCTGGTACCCTCACATTCACACTCCATTCTGTTTAAACCATCAGGATTCACAACAACACCTAGAATCCATTGCACACATAACAAATGGATGTAATGCATACAAACGCCTGTACATAGCCCGTCATGACCGTATTGTGGACATTGTGTCTGATGCGGTACGAAACATCTTACCATCTAGCGCAGCAATGTAGAAGCACGCTAGAGTGCTACCAGAATGGTTTGGTTTTACCAATGATGTCTTTGCTAACATCCCAAATACACCTGATGTTGTTTTTGTTGACACCAACCACAGGGAGGTGCTAATATTAGAAGTAGGCTGTGCCTTTGACCTGTACATGGACCAGGCTTTCCAGGACAAGTATATCAAATACCAACCACTGCTCGATGTGATAACCAGCTTTGGGTACAAGTGTAGATACAGCATACTTATATTCGGAAGTCTTGGCCATGTATATAAATGCACCATGATTGGTCTGAGAATTGCTGGAATGTCAAAGAGAAAAGCCAAACAAATTGCCAAATATTGCTCTGTTTCAGCTATTATTGGCAGCTTAGCCGTGTGGAGAAGGAGGTGCTATGTGTTCCCCTAAGTGTTCTGTGCTGCTTAGCCCCGATATATTTGATTCCCTGTCTTATGTAATATAATTTGTGGAACCAAATAAAGTATTCAAATGTGTGTGTGTGTGTGTGTGTGTGTGTGTGTTCACAGCTACTGACAGTGAACCCAGAGCATCGTTACTCCAGTCTGTCTGCCATGCAGGCATCTGCCTACCTCACTGACGTCAACTGGGACGCCGTGTACGAGAAGACCATCGAGGCCGGATTTGTTCCTAATGTCAGTTTGATGCTATCAGACACACACACACACACACACACACACACACACACACACACACACACACACACACACACACACACACACACACACACACACACACACACACACACACACACACACACACACACACACACACACACACATACAATAAACACTTGGAGGCAAAAACCACTTTCCCTCGTGTATGCAGATCGTAAAAAGTGTGTATAGCAACTAAATAATGCATGAGAAAGTGATTGCAGCTCCTTCATGGTGTGTCACTCTGGTTCATGTACATTATGTGTGTTATTCAGTATGTTATACTCACTATACATGTGTGCACTCTGTGTATAGTGCAGTTGATTTATGACCCTGTGTGGGGGCTTCTTATTATCTCCTGTGCATCTCCCTGCCACAGAAAGGGCGCCTCCACTGCGACCCCACCTTTGAGCTGGAGGAGATGATCCTGGAGTCGCGTCCCCTTCACAAGAAGAAGAAGAGGCTGGCCAAGAACAGATCTCGAGATAATAGCAAGGATTCTCAGTCTGTGAGTGACATCTCTGCTGGTGTGTTGGGTTGAGTGGGGTTGATAACATAAAAGTGCCTCCCTGTTATTCCCCTGAGCTAAACATATTTACTTTTGATTTTCTTTATCAAATTATCAAAATACATCATATCAGACTTGATTTGGAATAGAAATTCAAAGTTCAAACTTATTTCAATTGTTTATTTCCCCACGATATAATATTATAAAATTTGATTATTGACTATGTTTTCAATAAATGTCTCTTGTTTGGAAAATTAAATACACTTTTAAAGAGTGTGGGCAGGAAGAGATTCAGTAATCATGACTGTAAAAGCATGGAAAAATATTTAAGGTGCTGGATTATTAACATGAAATTATCATTTGTGTATTATTTACATGTTGTGAATATTTGAATATTTTTTATATATTATGGTGATCAACAATTCAAGTGCATTGCGACATCCTTAATCTTGATTCACAATGTTTCCGATGTTACCAATAGTGTAAAGAAATAACAGAAATGTTATTTAGTTTGGAGTAAATCAGACGGTAATCATACGTGCAAACAGCAAAGGACCAATTTGTGTACATTTGAGTATTTAAAAAGAGAGGTCACATTCCTCGGATTAACTAAAGATCTTTACCATCTTTCATTTTTTGATACAAGAGATAAGATAGTGTAAAGCTGCATAACCCCGGGGTTTAAAGCATCGTGTTCTGGTGATGAGGAGGATTTATGAGCTGTGAGGATGAAGGTGGGATTCAAGATGTCACTGCATCTGTTAAAATGCCTTTAATCCCTCTGATGAAAGAAAGTGCTATTTTTAGCTTTTGTCACATTTAAAATGGTGATTTGCCACTATACAGTGCTATGATTTGCTGTTCCCTGTTAATGTGATCTTTTTGCAGATCCAGGTTGTGTTATTTTCACTTTAGGCAGTAAGCAGATGATTATGAAGAGGACCCCTGCACACCCACATGTGTCTGAGGAAATGATAGCCTGCTGTATAGGAGTGTTCCTCATACAGTAGATACCTCGCAGATGAGGGGGGGCAGTCTTGGATAACAATGCTGCTCAGGTTTACCTTGCTCTCCGCTCTGTCAGTTCCTGTCAAAATTGCATATTTTTAGATTGGAGGTGAGCCAAATCCCACAACCTTGTTTCCCTCAGCTGTTGTGAGCCTCGGCTCCGAAGACACAATCAATGGCTGTTAGTGCTGGAATGGAGTGTGGCAGTGATGATGTGTCTGTGTAGGCCGACTTCGAGGTTAGGATCACATGTGCTCCCCCCACATAAAGCAATGGGATTTTTCCATTGGAATTTTTGAATATTGAAGTAAATAAGATCCGTGACAAATACACACTTGATAGTTACATGTTTGCTCAGCAGGAAAAACCTCGACATATTAATAGCACTTTTGAGTTTGGAAACACAAGTGCAATTGCCAAAGTAAAACACTACAGTTAACCTTATTTTGGGGATCTATCCAAAAACACGGACGATGGAACTGGATATGGTAAAATGCTGACTCATCTGGGTATTAGGACTCATTCCTGCAAAACAAGATTCCTTATACAAAAATAAACTGAATGTACAAGCATGCTAGCTGCAGGTATCTTGTACGTTTGCAGATTAGTTGCGTCTTTAGAGATTATGGATGTTTCTGAAAGGTCTCTAGTTTACTGTCATACTTATTTATATTTGTTTTATTTCTCTTGTCCTGAACTGTGGGGAATAAGATTACTCAGTAGATTATTATACAAGTCAAAATTACTACACCAATCATGTTCATGCCTGGAGTTGGATGAGAAGTTAAAACCATGTTTACGCCTGTCCGTTTTGTACTGATGTTTCTGAGCCAGCAGCCCCTTAGCTTAGCATACAAACATGTTTTACAGAAAACAGAGTTTGGGAGTGTCCCTATGGCGTTTTGTTTCTTCCAAGCAACGCTCTTCTAGTTAAAGAAAAGCTGTTGACAGCACTGTCAAATGTCCCCTTTGTTAGCCTTAATTAGATCCAGGGCTCCATTTCACAGTACCCCCTATAATAGGCAATGATATCCAACGTATTGTTGTCTCCTCGCTCTAAGGCTGTCAGATTGAGCAGTAACAACCTCATCCAGAGAAAGGACGAGAGCAAAAACCCTTCCGTAGATGATCATTAGAAAAAAATCTAGTAGCCCAGATAGATAATAAATAGCAATGGGGTTTTTAGGTTTACTCCATACTGAAGTTTGGGAGAAGAACATTACATTAGGCTACACCAGAGCAAATGTTCTAAAACTAAATAATTATCCTTGAGTGTTAGTTGTGATTTCCCTCTGTCATTATTCACTTGAATTGATTAGGAGTTATTCAGATCATCTGCTGGCTCCTGATTACTCCTGAGAGGAGCTTGGTGCATTTCCCAGTTGGCCAATCAGAGTGATTGAAAGGACAGATCTCCTTTCAGCACATACTGGCCGTTTCTCAATGTCGAGTAAACCTGCTGCAGAGCCACTATTTCAAGTATACTACGTCATCGAGTGGCGCCGAATGCTGGGCATTTAACATGCATTTAAACAGTCCTTTGGCGCCACTCGATGACGTAGTATACTTGAAATAGTGGCTCTGCAGCAGGTTTACTCGACATTGAGTAAACGGCCACGGTCACACAGAAACTCTGCTTTTATGGCCCTTTTAACCTTCTGAATAACGGTGATTAGTTTTTTTATTGCTTTATCTTTCTTGAAGAACCTTCATTTGCATGTCTTTAAGGAGGCATTGTTTTAATTGTGACGGTGATATCTGTACACCAAGTGGTTGTGGTTGGGTTACTTTTGGTGCTTGTTACTGTCTGCAGAAATGTGGGATAGCATACCAGCCTCAATGTCTTCACCTAAAAAAATGGCCTTCTTGCGTATAAAATACATTTAATTAAATTCATAAATCCTGTGCGAGATACCCTCTATTTGTGTGTGTGGTGTGTGTGTGTGTGTGTGTGTGTGTGTGTGTGTGTGTGTGTGTGTGTGTGTGTGTGTGTGTGTGTGTGTGTGGTGTGTGTGTAGTGTGTGTGTGTGTGTGTGTGTGTGTGTGTGATGTGTGTGTGTGTGTGTGTGTGTGTGTGTGTGGTGTGTGTGTGTGTGTGTTGTGTGTGTGTGTGTGTGGTGCGTGTGTGTGTGTAGTGCTGATCAGCTTCTGCAAGAAGAGCGCACCTCTAACAATAGCAGGGTTATGAGACTCTGTGTGTGAGTGTGTAGTACATGCATATGTGTGTGTGTGTGCACTCTGTTATTACCAAGATTATTAAATTATGAAGCCTTGACTGCAGTTGTCATGGCCTCAAGTGCTTTCGGAAATATGAACTTCTATTTTTGTCTCGGGCCAAACATCCAATTTGAGGAGCACAAACAATTCATGACTCGCTCAAAAAGAGCATCGGAGGATAAAAAGCAAAATGAGGAAAAAGACATTTCAACCTCAAATAATTGGAGATGACAGAGTTTCCTCCGCAGCTCCTAATGATCATACTGTGATTGATGCTGATGTTTTCTGCCTGCAGGAGAACGACTACCTACAGGAGTGCCTTGAAGTGGTGCAGCAGGAGTTCATGATCTTCAACCGAGAGAAGTAAGAGAACACGAGCAGCAGACCGTCCATGACATGATGCATCAACACAGAGAGATGCAAAGGGCAGCATATTAAGAGAATAACTCTGTGCTGCCCTTCTCCTTCATTGAAAGGCACAATCATTTCTTCATGAAGGAGAAAGCGTTAAAACTGTTTTTTCACCAGTGGCCATTGGTTCTCCATGGTGCTAACATTACTCTCCAAAGTATGCGCCTATATCCCAACTCCTCTTGTATATCAATGAGAGCAACACAATATCAATCCGGCAGTTTTGTCAGATTTGTTCACACATTAATTTAATCAGAAGATGACACTAATCATGCCTCCCTGCTCAGAGAAACGTTCTCTGTCCTCAGTCCTGAGTTGGGGAAGTATTTTAAGTAGAAGTTATTGGAAAGGAATAATCATTTTACTTAATTTCCTTAGCTTTAATACTCTACTGTATTTAGTCATATGTACAAACATGCACTTGGTCACAGTGAACTCAACAAAGATGTTTTAGGCCGTTATTCAAAAATGTAATTAGGACAATTTCCCTTAAATGCCTAAAACATTAAAATGATCAGTGATGACATTTTGGCCAGTCATGGGTTGACATTTTGAACAACTTGCAAAGAACTAGTCGTGTTTTAACTAGATAGTTTATTATGACTGCTAAAAAGAATGGGCAGATCTCTTTAAAGGAATAGTTGTTTTTATCATTTTACTTAAAGGTTCACAAATAATGCTTTTATTGTAATAAACAGTTTAAAGTATCCCCCACCACCAGCTGCATTTGAACAAAGACTTGCACGTGGAGCTAAAAGTGAACGTGCCCTGAAGCGAGAACGCCGTCAGGAGATTATCATCTGCACAGCAAATAGTTATTTATGAGCTATAAGACAAAATAAAGTGTGCAGTGCATCTGGATAAAGTTTCTGGTACAGGAAGTTATTTAGTTTACAGGAGAGGAGTGCATTTTATTCCAAACCTGTCTGACCGCCAAGCCTCTGTGAGGAAATGACTTGGATACGTTCAGTAAATTGTAAATTACAGAAGGTTATAAAATCCCCCCCTTCTGCGGCTATAATATTATGCATCTAATCTTTTTGTAGATGTCAGTAAAATATACACAGTACATCATAAATATAGACTATGAGGTCCGTCTCTCATTGGATGTGTGTCCTCTCTGCGATGTTAATGGAGGAATATTGGTTCAGCGCGGCTCTAAATGATTGCCTCATTTATTATTGACTGGGCCATGCCACTGCTCTGTTACTGGAATCCTCCTGTTTGGAAAATGTCTTTTTATAGCCCTTTGCTCTAATTAATGGCAATCTGCTTCTATTTATAATGGAGGGCATAATATCTAGAATTATGCACAGCAGAGATGAGTACTATATAATAAACTCAAAGCCTCTCATTACGTTCAACCACTCGCTATTTATTTCTGTCTGTGTTTCTGTTACTACATTTCTGAGGACTAAATGAAGGGGCCTGAACTTCCAAAAAGGGCTTAGAATTCAAATCAGATTAAGAGGTCTACGTGCATGTATGCAGATCATATTCTAGTTTGTCTAACTGATTTCTTCATTTTGTCATAAAAACCAAGTCTGTGACATGCCTTGAATTTGCCTGAACATTTCAGCGCTGGCCTTTACCGACAGAACCCTGTCATCTCCCAGTGAGACGTTTTCGTTGCCATCTTTAATTAAATCTCCTTCTTCTTCACCTTTAGGATTTCTGGTTTCTTGCCGTTTTAAGCTAGTAGCAATATAAATCATGTAATCTAATTCAATAACTTACAGGCCCAATTCTCACAAATTGAAGGAACCAACACAAAGTACTCAGATCTTGTACTTAAAGGTCCCATGTCATGGCCATTTCTACTGATCATAATTCCATTGTTGAGATCTTCTAGAATAGATTTACATTGTTCAATGTTCCAAACTCACATTGGTTTCTCATACAGCATCTCTGTAAAGTATGTGTATTCACTGTTGGACATGGAGCTGCTGTGACGCAAGTCAAATTTCAGACTTGATCTGACAAATAAAGTAATATCGTATTGCACTCTCTGTCCTAAATGGCCTGTTGGAGCTCCTGCCCCCCCTCCCTGTGAGCCCACTGTGCTCTGATTGGTCAGCTCGCCCACTCTGTTCTGATGAGTCCACCACCGTTACAGCGGAACATCAGTGATTATGTGTTACAATGGCGTTTGTTAGCAACCAGAAAATGACACCAGTAATGACAAACAGGTGAGAATGCTGCGTGGGGTCTGGGTGCCGTGTTGGCGAGGAGCGGACAGTGTGAGCTGGGTTCATTTCCTGCTTGCTGCGTGGGGTCTGTGAGACAGACATCGCAAATGGACGCGGGAACGGGGGGGGGGGGGGGGGGGGGGGGGGGGTGGTGCTGAGCGCGTCACAGGGGGTGCGTCACAGTTTCGCTGCAGAGAGAGTGTGTGTGTGTGAGGAGCTACACGGATTGGTCCATTTGGACCAATGAGTCCATTTGGGTATGGTCACGTCACCATACCCAGGAAGAAAAAGAGAAATGTCCAACGAGGCCTTCTGGGGCAGCATAGACAGGTATTTTCTGTGTTAGAGTTTTACTCGCTACAGGGTGTACTTTGAGGGTTTGTGACTCTGCAGACCGTTTACATGCAGAAAAAGCTACATAACACACAAGGGGACGGGTAAGAAAAGCATGACATGGGACCTTTAAGTGAAATCAGAATCAGAAACGGGTTTATTGCCAGGTAGGTTCACACGTACGAGGAATTTGACTTGATGTCATGGTGCATACATAAAACATAAAACAAAAAATCTAAAAAAAATACACAGATAGCAAACTATAAGAACACTGTAAAAAGAATATTGATAGATAGCAATACAATAAAGTTAAGCAGTAATTTACAGCGAAATAGAATGCAGTGAATTATAGAATATGAAATATGTGTAGTAAGCAATATTTGAACAATATTTGAACATTGTGTGCATTAATGTAATGCATATAGAGTCTGCGTTATGGCTGAGGTAAAGTGTCAGTGGGGGGGGGGCGGGCCAGGAAAGTAGTGATACCAGAGTGTACACATATACTCTGTTAAGTAAACGTGCTGCATTCATAATTGTACTTAAGTATAAGTACAAACAGACTGGAGCATCCAAATATACTTAATGTACCAAAAGTAAAAGTGCTCATTATGCAGAATAGCCATTTTCTGAATAATTTATATAACATTACTGGATTATAATAAGTAATCCTTAAAGGCCCTGTCACACTGTCCCGAAATTGACACCCGATGGACACACGAATATGGAATTGTGAATTTCGCACGAAGATGGCCCCGAACCACACACGAAGGCAACATTTACATTACATTTAAGACATACAACTGCAACGAAAGTACCAAAAACAATTATGTTACAGTACTATGATACTGTACTGATATCTTCAGACTTTGTTCTTTACTTTATCCGTCTTTATATGTAGAAGATATTACGTTTTCTCCGTAATGTTGTTTCCATAACAACAACAACAACTTCCTGTCAACTGTCCTTCAAAATAATATATTATATCCTTTTTAGTTTCACAGAACACAAATTGGGTTATTTACATAATATATTTACATGATTTTGTTGTGCAATAAAACAACCCGATGGACACACGATAAAGGAAATGTTCAAATTTGGCTCTGATCGTAGCAACATCGGGCCATTCCTGAGGGCATCTTAAGCCATCGTATGACCGCCGGTGGAGTTTCTCAGGCTCCGGCAGCAACTTCGTGAGCGGTGGCAAAATCTTTGGCATGCCAAAAAATTGCCGAAGGACCTTGCGAAGGTTCATTTTCGTGTTGAATTCGTGTGTCAATTTTGCCCTTCGTAAGGCCATCGTGAGGGCATCTTGTTATCATCGGTGCCATCGGGCATTCGCCCCGATCAGAGTGAGGGTGAATGCACCGATGATAACACGAAGATGACACGATTTGACAAGATGCCCTCACGAGTGCCTTACGAAGTTGCCGCTCACGAAGTTGCTGCCGGAGCCTCAGAAACTCCACCGGCGGTCATACGATGGCTTAGATGCCCTCACGAATGGCCCGATGTTGCTAAGATCACAGCCGAATTTGAACATTTCCTTTATCGTGTGTCCATCGGGTGTCAATTTCGGGACAGTGTGACAGGGCCTTAAGTGTGTACATCATTTTCATAATAATAATAATACATTTAATTTATATAGCGCTTCTCATCTGCCAAGACAAATCTCGAAGTGCTTCACAACAAAGGATACTAATACACTTTGATAGATTAAACAAATAATTGTAATAATAATAAGAAATCAAAAAATAAAATATAAAATAAAGTACAAAAATAAAAGTCGGTGATAGCGATAAAAATGGCAGTACTCCAGGTGTACCATGCTCAAAGTTTTATTCATGATGTTCATCCCTTTTTATTCTTCCAGGTGATCCATAATGGTTTATCATAATTAGTAGTAGCCTATTTACTTACATTAAGTTAGACAAATTATCAAATTAAATCAAATTTTTCTCTTTAATAAAATCTCAAAACTTGTATTAAAGTCTACTTTTGTTTTTTGTCCAAAATTGTTAAGGCCTTAAATATTTTTCTCGGAAATTCACTTCAAGGACTGTGGAAGCATTTTTAAAGCTTTATATCTGATATTCTTGTCTAGATAATATAAGTTCATGTCTCAAAGGGGTTCCTCGTGTTCCTCTCTCCCTCAGGTTGAAAAGGCGTCAGGAGGAGGGTCCGCCCGAGGCCGGGGGGGATGATGCCGGGGGGGATGATGCCAGTGGAGACGGGGAGGCTGAGGGCGGGGCCACCGACGAGGATGCACCCGAGCCAGAGCCGGAGCCCGAGACCTCCTCCAAACGGAGCATGTGCGGCTCGGTGTGCTCCTCCCCCGGCAGCTGCTAGCCCTTCAGCGCCTCAGAGACCCTCGCAGGCTCTCTGCCAGCTGCAGTGTCTGTGCCATGCCAATAGAAACATTCTCACCTCTCTCTGTTGTAGCCAGGAGCGGAGGGGCCGCACAGCAGGACCCCCAATTTTTCCTCCTTTTTCCCCCTGTAGCATCCTTCAGGTAGGGCATGAATGAAGATTTCCAGAGAGTCCCCGCCTCCTGCACCCATACGCCCTAGAGTAAGCTCTAACTTCTATGCAATCTTACAGTATAGCATGACAAATAAAGTATCACTTACTAGGAGGAGCTGTTCACAAGCAGGAAGCTCCACGAGCATGATGACATCCCGAGAAATAGCCGTTCACGCTCTTTGGGCCATTGTGGTTTAGGGTGAGGACGCCTCCACTCTCAGCCTTCCTGTTCAAAATCTGATGGGGGCGGCTGAATTATTCAGCACACGCAGCCAGCCACTCAGTTTACGCTATTGCCTGAGTCTTCAGTTCACTCTTCCTCTCCCCCAGTCTCTTTCATGTAATGTGTGCCCCAATTCAGAACGCTGGTTTCTCCTGGAGCAACTTCTCCGAGACACATGTACAGTAAGTGGCTGTGTTCAGACAGGCCAAGAAATTGCGGCTGGTTTCATGTCGTAAACCCGTTGCAAGTTGTGCCTGTCGATGATAATCAGTATTCGTTGGGTGCATTAAAGGTCAGAATGTTAGTTTGATTTTCCTCTCTAATGGCGCTTTTCCACTGCAGCACGTAGCACGTTTTTTTTTTGCTTTTCCACTAGGGGTAGTTCCGGCTCAGCGCTAATTTTTCACCTTTTTTCTGGCCCTCCAAAATCGAGGTTCTTACCGGGCCAACAACCAGGCTGAATATGCTAAACTAGTGACGTAAACACTCTCGACTGCTGAATGGTCAGAGAATCGCTGGCAAGGGGGCTACAACTACAACAAAATGAACATATTTGACCTTTTATTTAATTGTAATACACGTTTCAAAATGATGCCGAAGTAACAACATACTGATACAAGTCTGCAGACAAGACGGCAGGAGAAAAACCTTTTAAAATGCGTGTTTTCTGAATGGAGATCGGCTAACGTTGTATATGCGCCGTCCACACTCACAACAACGGCCTACAGACATAAATAAAGCAGCGACTGTATTCTCCATGACACAGACAGTCTGTGGTTTGTACTTGTTTAACTTTTGTCTAGTTTCTGAACAGATATGAGGAGCTGTGAGCTCTGAGGGCTAACAGCTAACGGCTGATGTTATGGTTTTGTGGTTCGCATTGAAGATGACGTCACAGCAGTTTTTCGCAGCGTCGCTCCGCCCGCCAAACAGCCGATCGCCCCCCCTACACTGCGTTACTATAGTTACTACCCCAGTTCCTAAACTGTAATGGAAACGCAGCATAAAGTGAGCCTGGCCTACCAAGGCCTAACCATACCGTACTAAGCCGTGCTAGGTCCTGCAGTGGAAAAGCGCCATAAGTGTTAGATAACTTATTTTTCCAATCTTTTTTAGGATGATAATCTTCTATAATTGATGGGAAATCAGTGCAGCAATCAGAAAGAACGTGTTGCTTGTCTGTGATTGTTACCAAGATGTATTTTAGCCCTGCTCCATTCTCTGACTCATCATCAGAACCTGTTCTTGGGGGAATACTGTAAATGCCAATCACTAACAATCCCATTTTTAAGAATCTATTAGAGAATTCTGCTTACTTCATCATCTCTTTAAGTACTTGGTTATAAAGATCTTGTTGAGCTTGTTCCAGGGCTGTACTTAAATGTGTAGCTGTGCCCTGTTGGTACTTCAAATCATATAGATGAGCTAGCCTATTACTGTCATAGTGATAGTGGTACATTTAAGGGGTCCCATTCATCTCAGTCTGAACACCTGGGAACATGTAGCAAAGGTTCACCTTAAACCCTAAGGCCTAATCAAATAAAGTAAAAACGTGTAAATAGCATAGGTAATTTAACTCACCACAGTTTTATGTGGGACTGCAAACTCGACATATAAAAAAGGAAGAGCCTTGTGAGCTTTTGTTCTGCTCTTCTTTCCAAGTGTGCAGGCACAACTTGTAGGCAAAATATGCCAAAGCTTTTCTACCATTTGCATAACCATTTCTAAGGAACTCTGAATGTGTGATTGTGTGTCTCTTTTCCCCCGGTATGAAGTCAATGTTCCTTCTGCAATGAAAATACTATCCTTTATACTGTTATATTGTGTATAAAGTAACTATTTCAGGTAAGAGGAAGACCTTAAAGCTAAATGTATACATTCTGGGATATACACTTATTGGCTGTCTTTACAAGAAAACAGGAGATGATCCCTCTCATGTCTAGAGCAAACAGGCGATTAGCCTAACTAAACAAAGATTAGCAGCAGGGGAAAGCAGCTAGCTTGACTCTTAAGTTAAAAAAAATCCTTATTACGGTATCAACAGTAATTTAAAAAATACTTTCATTTTAATCAATGTCAGAAGAAGTTCATGCTCACAAATGTGGAGCAGTGAGTTTTTGTAAACTGTAGTAGGTGGATACTAAACTTTGGAGAAAGCCAGGCTGGCTGTTTTAGGAGACTCTAGAACATGGGTGTCCAAACTACGGCCCGGGGGCCAAATGTGGCCCGCGGGCCATTTTGAATCGGCCCTCAGCAAATTCAAAAGGTATAATGGAATGCGGCCCACAAATGAAACTTGAGCTTGTCTTATATTGTACTTCTTAAATATATCTGTAAACATATGTTACACAGTAGTGTTCATGTGTTAATAATCCCACTTTCAGTCAATTCAAGTTAAAATATGTTCGAACAAAAAAAGGTTGATAAGAAAAAAGCCCAATAACTTAATAATTTAAAGGGGACCTACTGTATCGTGCAAAATGCACATTTGTACGTCTTTTATACATGAATATGTGTCCCCGGTAGGGGTGTAACGGTTCACAGAAGTCACGGTTCGGTTCGTACCTCGGTTTGGAGGTCACGGTTCGGTTCGGTTCGGTTCGGTACAACAAGAAAAAGCAAAAAAAAGTCCCAAATGCATAATTCCAGGTTTGTTGTTATTTATGTTTGAACAGTAGTGCAAGTTTCAGTTTAAAAATAAAGAACTCTGACATTTTGAATAATTAACTGTATTAAACAGTTAAAAACAAACCATACACAGTACCACACACACTCAGATGGCCATATTACCTATAATGGCTGATGTCAAACAAAAAGGTTTCATCAAGCTGTAAAACTAAAAAGAATGTCTTGAAAATATGACATCATAAATAATAAGAAAGTGTTTCAAGAGCGCAAAGTCGTTGAAAAACATATGCCAAAAGCTTCCGTTATTTATTTTGGTCTCAAGGCTTTCATATCTATTGGCTTCTTAAAAACAGCGGGGATCAGCTGTTGAACTGCTGCTCTCTTTTGCCGGGCTCCGGTGATTGGCAAATCTGGGTGATGCCTTCTGATATGATTTAGCATGTTTGGCATGTGTTACCATTAGCATACCGCACCACTGTAGAACAACGCCGACACACCGTCCTCGTCCGATCCACCACTCGCGCACTTCATCGTTATTGTAGTCCACAGGGAACCCGAAATGTTCCCACACAGCTGATTTAAAAGAAGCAGGTGGGTTCTAGCTCCTGGGTGTTATCTGAAATCGCCATACTAACTTTTCTTCTTCTTGTATTTTGTTCGTTTTGTTGTTGTGTTTCTTCTTGTTCTTCATTTGTTGTTTAAGGGCGGCTGGCAAACAGCTTTTAGGCGCAATACCGCCCCCTGGATTATAAATAGTGTAGTGGATACTGCCCTGAATGACAGACCTTTTTCCCACTCGTAAAAAAAAGGCGTATTCGTCGTGTGACTGCGTGTGCCGAACCGTGACGTCCGAACCGTGACGGTACGGGACGAATACGGATACCGTTACACCCCTAGTCCCCGGTGTTCCAGGGAACTCACCAAGTGTCAGAAAACACAACCCTCTCTATTTTCCTCCATACCCAAATCTCTAAAAAAGGGGCTGCAACGGATCTGATACAGACTGATCCAGATTTGAACACTGTCCTGACGTCAGGACGGTGGTGCTACAGCTATTGGTCAATTCTCCACCTATCAGGGGAATGAGAGGTTGGGCCACGGCCGGCCATTGCTGCTCAAAAGCGCTGGAGACGCTGTAGTACATATGCCAGGCCTGTAAGTGGTGCTGTAGTATGCCACAAAAGCAGCGAAGAAGACTTCCCTTGCATGGTTGCCATGGTTGCCCTTCTGTTTATTCTCCGCTGTGGCTCTTTTTCTCCCTCCCCGAGGCAAGCGTTTGCGCCTCCTGCTTTAAAACAAATGAATAATGACTATATAATCATATGTAAGGGATAATGTGCAGCGACTTCGCGTCGGGCTCCTGATCGGCCTGTCGGTGTTCTTTTCCCCATAATGACCGCGTCGCTGCACATTATCCCGCTTATTACATGGCCACATTCTCAACAAAGTAATGACATGACTCCCAATATTAATTGAAATGCTTTTATGGATTTAGAAAATGCTTTTATTGATATAAAAAATAGTTTTATGTATTGATTTAAATTGACAAGCATCCGCTAAGAAAAATAGTCCGTTGTTACTGTTTGAACTAACATAGCAACGGCAGGAACTGCTTCGATAGTGTTTTTGAGGAGCTTTTTGATTAAAGATTCGAAAACATCGTTGCTTGCTTTAAAAGTAGCACAATTCATTATGTCAAACCTTGGAAAGTATCTAGATATCCCTGCCCTAATGCCAAAGTAACTGCCAACTCCCCTCTCCTGCAGGGGGGCGTGGTCAGTTGCAGCTCACAGAATCAGCTCCCTGCAAAAACAGGGCGGGAAAGAGCAAATAGAGCGAAATGAGGCATGGCTCAAATGCAGGATCTGTTTGGTATTTTGAAAAAATATATATATTTATATACTTTATATAGGTATGGCCCTACAATATATGTTTCAAATATAGCATGATAGGTCCACTTTAAATAATAACCTTGAAATATACCCTTCCTATTTCCTCTTATGATAAGCAATCTGAGGCTTCCGTTTTAAGGAATGAGCTGCTAACAAAATAAAGCTGTGATGTAGGCTGTTGTATCAAGCATAATTTACTAACATTTGATTGATTTTGCTAACTTATAACTTCACTTATGAGGCAATAAACCTCACCTCTAGTGAGTGACCCAGCCCTTCGAATATTTTTCTGTTTGTGGCCCTCGGTGAAAGAAGTTTGGACACCCCTGCTCTAGAATAAATACAAGGTGATGGTAACATTAAGGCAGGAGGCAGCCAAAGGCTCGGCTACAAAAATTATAATACCCTTATCCTGATTTGATAAACCTCACTTTAGAATGCCTTTGGCGGGCCTATTTAAGGACTGGCCAAACATCAGAAAAATACAAATAGAAAAGATAACCCACTTATTGGAGTTCATTCGTTAGTTTTATATCAGTTTGGCCTCTTTACGCTCAGTTGACAGACCATTACGTTAGCTTGATACAGGTGCCTTGTTACCTTTCTACCAAAAGAGAAAAAAATGCATTAATATGATTACAATGTTGATGTTCTTATCTGGCTTGCTAATGTTAGCTGCTAACATTAAGCTAGCTGTTGATGGTCAGTTTGTTGTGACTTGAAGAGATAGCTAAGTTTAGTAAGTTAATAACTTTGCTCGGTAAGTAAATAATAAAGTAATGTAACTACTATTACAAAGGGCAAGTAACTTGTCCCACACTTTTAATAATAATAACACAACTATGGAACAAAAGACTAAGCGTTCTAACCTCAATGCTAGCTTGGCTTCCTCTGTTGTCGTTCTGCTTCCACTAAGCTAGGCTAATCATCTCCTAGCCACAGAATCATACTTTAGGAACCGTGGAGAGCATCCATCTCCTTAACTTGGTGACTGCCAATTTTTCAGAAGGCTCATTATCCTG